AATTAAACGTAAATACAGTCGAGAGAAGTTAAAATAGTTTTTACCACTAATTTTATTCATATTATATTTAAAATACTTGAAACATAATTAAGTAAAAAGTTTCCGGTGAGACGAATGTAATTAACGTCATTTTGGAGAGTTTCGCGTGTACATATATAATAATAATAAAGCTTTCCAAGTGTCGCTTTCAGTTGGACAAAAGTTTGCAATTTATTTGAAAGACGCAATACTGGCTTTTGGGATCTTGGATTTAAACTTGAATTTATGTATAACGTTAGAGGAAAAATTTTTCACGATTTATTGTAGAACACGCGCAGGTCGATGGAAACTGAGCGGTGCTGAGAAAAGCCAGTGTAAAGTTTTTCTTGAGCGCAATGTGCGCGATCGGCATAGAAATTGATGTTATTGCTCTTATTCATTCTTATGCCATTTCTTGCAAAGCAATTTTACACATTCAAAACGTATATTTTTATAAATTGCAATTTGCCCACTTTTTTAAAGAAACGTTCATATAATGACTCTAAATATTGCAAAAAGTAATTCATATTTCCATATATACATTAAAATCGTCACATTACTATTTATTATAATTATTATTATGTATTTAATTAAATTTTATTTCTAATTTAAATACAATTTTAGAGAAAGAAAAAAAAATTGAAGCGATTAAAAGTGAAAGAAATGTTATTTTAAAAATAATATACTTTCAATAAAGTCTTCAAAATTGTTTTGAAATAAATTGAATTTTTAAACATATAGTTTGTTTTTTTTGAATTTTCAAATATTGGAATAAAATATTAAAAATAAAAAAAAAATTCACACAATCTAAAAGTAAGGAGAAAATTGTGTAAATACTGAAAAAATTTAATAAACTGGCTTTCATACTTTTTTTTCGATGGAATTATTATGAGATTTTCGTGTCAAGGAAAGAAAAAAATTTTTGCGGATAATCTTGTTCTTGTGCATTCCTATCTAAACTTCTCGCCTTTGTGGTTACAAGCGTAACAACAACACTGCCGTTTACACTTACACATTTTATGCGGCTGTATAACAAAACACAGAGTAAATTCCCTTCTACGCGGATAAAACTTATATATCCGGTTAAGTTAATTCATTTTGTTATATAGAATTTTTTTTTTATCTATTTTTTTATACTTTTTTTATTTTTTAAATTGAGATATACTATAGGTATACATATATATATATAAATATATATATAGATGTATTCTTTGCTTTTTTTCAAACTCAATGGGATATTTGCAATCTATACTTCAACAGCATAGCTTTTATTGTGAGTGATATGTGACGATTTAAAAAAAAAAAATTTGATAGATGGGAAATACAATTTTTTTTTTTAATCCGCTAAACTTTTATTTTAAGGCATTAGTCGCGTGACTATAGTATACGTAAAAAAAAGTTGCAAAAAATTGACTGTTTTTGTTAATACATATATAGCGTTTTATATAAAGTATCAATTTCTTTGGTGTCAACAATAAAAATATATGAATTTGATAATTTCAAAATTATTTCACTCGAAAATGAGATTAAATGAAATTAATAATTCATATGCAAAATAATTATTTTTTTAAATGTAAAAATATATTTTTTAAAAATGTAAACAAAGATAAGTTATTTCTTTTATGGGGAAATTAAAACGGTAAAATTGAAAAATATTTTTTCTTAAAAAAGTAAAAAGAATCTTTTTACTTATGAAAAAAAGATCTCTAAATTTCCAGGAAAAACTGTGAATTTAATTAACCAGGAATTATAATTGAATTAAAAATATAACTGTTTACTAACAATTTTTTTTTAATTTTTATTTATTCATTTCAAATTCTACTGTTTTGAAAATTCAAATAAATTTCTTTATTTATTTACTTTTAAAAACTGGCCCAATTTTCTCAATTTTGTTCCCTTAAAATTTACCGTTTAATTTAGGAATTTTTTATATTCTGGACTTTTTTCAATTCCTTTAAATTTTCTATTTTCTCATTTTTTTCTTTTTTCTTAAATTTTCGTTTTCTCTTTCTTAATTTTTTTCTCAAACTCTTCACAGTAAAAACAAAGTCTTAAACCGTTTACACCTTAAATTAAGCCCATATATTTTGCATAAGTCTGTCCTTTTATAATTGGTCTGACTCCGTTTACACCTTAAATTCAGCCTCAAAAATAGGCTGAAATCAAGATTTCTTTTTTAGTGTGTTCTTTTTTCAGTTTTATCTGAAAATTCCCTTTTTATTTGAAAAATTCTTTCTTTGCTAATAAATAAATAAATAAAAAAAGTAAATAAATATATATTTATTACGGTGTCTATAGTAACCGAAAAAAAACTTTATTGACAGTTAAATAGATGACCAAAATTTCGAGAATTGAAAATACAATTAAAAAATTTCCAAATATTCAACTTTTTCCTCAAAAATATTTTGTTTTCTACTCATTTTTTATTTATTAATCATTATTGCTTTTTAATGAAACTTTCACGAAACAATTTCAGAAAGTAAATTCATAATCGCGAAGTTTCTTTAAAAAAATTTCGCTAATAAAATCAGAATTAAAATTAATTAAATTTTCAAAACTTTTTTCAATCATCATAATATATTGATATGTAGTTTAATTTCATATTTTACGGTTATTAAATGAATAAAGTGTTTTTTTTTATTTAAAAAGAAAATATGTATTCTGTTATTATACCGAACTTTCTACATATTATTGTAGACATTGATTAATTTTTCCGTCTTCTCATGAATTTTCTCTTTTGATTCTGAATTTATATTATAATTTATAAATTGTATTTTTTTTTTGCAGTGTATTGCATTTATAAAGAAAAATTTTGATTTTATCTGTATATCAAGAGAGATTTTTCTTTTTTTTTTTCTTTGCTCAGTTCATTTTCTTTGGACTAATAGAGCGTCAATAAGAGAGAAGAAGCTTTATAACCTTTTGAAAGCCCGCTACGGACTTTTTGATTACCCTTTGATCGATATCGTCTTTTATCTTGGATGAGTAGTTTCATCTGTTTTCCAAAGTCATATGGGGGTTAATATTATAGCTTTTGGACAGACGATAAATTAAATGCCCATTTAAGAGCCCCTAGACTACGTTTTATTGCTACAAACATTTTTCTAGATTTTTATTTTTCACTTTTGAAATTGAACATTTAGATAACAAAAAAAAAAAAAAAGAAAAATGATTTATTATTTAAATTATTTTATATTTATTGTAATTCGAAAGGGAAAAATTTCTTATGTTTTCTGATGAAGAAAAAATATTCAGGAACAAAGTTCGACCAAATGGTATAGAAAGAGAAAAATTGAAAAAAAATTTAATTTTAAGATAAGATATCAGTGAAATTTTAATCTTTTGACATTTTCGTTGTTTTAGAGTGTTGATTTATTTTTCGACTTTATTAAAGAGATGTAAAATAATGCTGCGTTATAAAAATTTTAAAAAAGTTATTAATTAACAAATTTTTGAATATGTAAAACTTAAAATTCAGAAAAAATTAAAAATTTTCCACAATTTTTAATATTTTTCATCGATAATTTTTTTAAAAAACTTTTTTCCATCGTTATCAAACCTCGGATCTATTTTAAGGTGCAAAAAAGTCGTTTTAGTTTTTTAAATAATTGAATTTTCAAAGAATTTCATTAAAATTATTGAAAATAATTATTTTCGAAAAATTTTTATATTCAAATGGCAGGGAGTCAAAATTTCAAAAAAAAAAAAAAAAAAATTCCAATCAAAAAGTTCCAAAAAATTCTTTTTCCCAATGTAAATTTTTACATTTATTTTTCCAATATTAGTTCCAAAATTTGTTTAAAAAAATTCTAATGAATATTCAGCTAAGGTCATATTTATAATTTAGTTATTTTTTAAAATGATGTTTTGATACGTTAAATTGTTAAATTGTTAGTCCTTTGAAATTGAATTTAAAATTACTGAAAATGCCTCAAATAATAAGAAAGGTAATAGATATTTTGTTTTTAATTTGAATAAATTAATTTTGTAATTTAATTTGTAAAATAAATAAATAAATAAATAAATAAATTATATTTTATAAAATAAGTCGAAAAAGTTGTATAATTGTTTCAATAAATAAATAAAAATAAATAAATAATCCTAGACTTGCATTCCGAACAATTAATCGTATGGTTTTAAAAATTTTCCATTTATTAACAAAAAAAAAAAAAAAAAAAAAAATTCTATAATAGTTAGGAAAAAAATTATTGTTCTATAACAATGAAAATTTTCATGCGTTAAAATTTCAATGCCCTTCTCCTTAAAATGGAATTTTATTAATTTAATAAATTATAATTTCGAAAGAAAGTGTCGAAATTTTTTTATAAAAATATTTATAATATTCCAAAATTCATTTTGTCATTTTTTTCCCTTTGTAAACCCGTTTATATATATATATATATAGGTACATTAAATAAACAAATTAAAATCCATAAGTCTTTGACGATATATCAAATTTAAATCAAAAAGAGAAAAATATTAAATATAATTAGAATTTATAATAATTTATATTAATACTGTATTTTAGTGGATTCGAAACATTAAAAAAATTGTTTTAAGGTAATTTGTCATTAATTTCCTGTTGCAGTAATATTTAATTTTTTAATTTTTGAACCGAAATTCATAAATCCTCGACAATATCTAAAATTTTAATCAATAAGAAAAAAATATGAAATATAATTGGAATTTATAATAATTTATAATAATAATTGTATTTTAGTGGATTCGAAACATTAAAAAAAATTGTTTTAAGGAAATTCGCTTTCAACTTCCTGATGCGGTAATATTTCTAAAGGGTGCTCGAGTGACTGGTATCTTCCTTTGATCGTAAAACCGTGACTAAGAAAGACAGGAAGGATATGCCAAAGACGGAAGAGCAAAGTGTGGGTGGATTTGGTTTAGACGTTAAGATCTTAGAGAGAGAGAGAGAGAGACTGGTTACACTGTTGCCCAGGGGTTATATAAAGAGAACGTTGGCTTACCTGAGGAGAAACTCCAAGCATCTTAAGAGAGGGTGGCACGTTGAGACTCTGAGGAATTTGCACGTGACCAAAATCAACAGCAAAAGCCTCACACCAAACGCCAAAATGTCCAAGCTGATGCACCGTTAAATCTCCTGGTAATGTTAAAACAACCGTTTTATGATCGTAACGTCGTAGTGGTTGAATTTTTCCATTTTCATCAGGCACTTTAATTCCTTGAGGCGAGGGATGTGGTCCACTTCCGGTCCAGAATTTCGCATCTTTTATAGTGAAAAATAAAAAAAATATTCATTTTAATTGAGAAAATAAATAAAGAATATTAAATTTATTGAAATTTCCATTTGACTAACCTGGTGCTTCGCCATCGTAACTGAAACTTGGAATTAGAAGGGTTTGAGCATCAACAATCACCACTGGTTCTGAATTAACTCCATGAATACCATTTAGACTTCCTAATTTTTGTGGTTTTGGATAATCAAAACTGCGTGGAATTTTGATGTCACCGAAATTTACCTGCAATAAATAATTGTTCAATTTTAGTTAAAAATTATAATTTTTAAATATTAACAAAGTTAAAAGTTAAATTCAAAAGTCGATAAATTCAATTTTCAAAAAAGTGGAGATAAACCAGATTTAAGAAAAAAATGTTATTAACAAAGAAATTTCAATTTTTACAATATTAAAATTTTTACTAAAAAAAATTGACAAATAAAATGAGACAATAATTAACATAAATAAATAATTTTTTTGTTAATTTTGTGTTGCAAACATTTTTTTTGAAAAAATAATAATTAGGACTCAAGTTTAAAGAAAATAATTTTTAAGCTCAAAAATGTCACTTCTATGTAATTAAAAATAAACAATTGTGCAAGAACAGAACGAAATGAAATTCTTACAACAATTTTCAAAATATTTAATAATAAATTATTCAAAATAATTCAAATTCAAATTGAAAAAACGATTTTTTTTTAAATTTATTTATTCAATTATATTTTATTCAAAAATTATTATTTTTCAAAACCAAATTTTGTGCTGAAATTTTCAAGTCCAGCACAAAAATAAACAATAATTTTTCAATATAATAAAATATAATTGAATAAATAAATATTTCTTGGTGTTAAAAATCGTTTCTTGAATATTAAGATTTTGACAATTGTTGTAAGAATTTATTTTTGTATTGTTCTTGAAAAATTGTATATTTTTAATTATACATACATTGAAGTGGCATTTTTGAGCTTAAAATTGTTTTCTTGAAATTTGAGTTCTAATTATTATTTTTTTAAAAAAATTTTTCCAACACAAATCAGTACAAAATTATAGCATAAATTGTCACAAAAATGATTTTTTTGAAAAAACAAAATGTCAAACAAGAGAAATAATGGAATAGAGTTTTAAAGATCGATTATTAATTTTATAACAAAACTAAATTTAAAAAAAAAAAATAGAAACTATTGTAAAATTTTGTACATTTTTTTTTCTGAACTGAATTCAAAAAAGGAGAATTTTTTCGATATTATTTTTCATTTATTAAAAAAAAAATATAAAGTATTAATAGAGTCTTATAAGTAGAATATTGTTATTTCATAAAATAAACAACAAAATTTAACTTCAGTAATTAAAAATCGGTTGCAAAAACCAGATATATTCAAATCTAATTAATAAACAAAACGAGCTAATAATTAACAAGCGAAATAATGAAACCAAAAACTAAATTTTACATAAAAATAATTATTATTGTAAATTATGGTAGAATAATTTTGTCTTGAAAAATTGGAAATATTATTATTCCGTAAAATAAACAATAAAATTTAACATCAGCAATTAAAAATCGGTTTGGAAAATTATACTAATTAAAAATTAAATCACGAACAATACGATGACAATAATCAACGAGAGAAATAATAAAACGAAAAATAAATTTTCGGTATATAAAAAAAATAATGAATAATGATAAAAAACAATTTTAATTTATAAATAAAAATTTATTTTAATTTATTTATTAATTTGTCGTATAAATTAAAAAAAAAAAAGTTATTTCGAATAAAAATTTTAACGGTTTTTCTTTTTTTCCTTTTGTAAAGGGTCAATTATCCGTAAAATCACTAAAGAAAATTTCAAAAAAATGGCAAACAACTGAATTATTGAATGAAAACTAGTGTTAAAACTCCATTCCGTAACATCAGTTTTTATTCAATATTTCAGTTATTTTACCTTTTTTTAAAATTTTCTTTAGTGGTCCGATTGAAAATTGTTAAATCCTAACGTATGGCTGACAGAATTTTAAATAATTTCAATTAATTTTCATATTTTTTAACAAAATATCTTAAAAGCGTAATTTGTCATTTTTGAGAGAATCACCCATAAACATATTTTTATAAATCAAAAAAAAAAAGTCTCGAGTTGGAAAAAAAATAGAAATTTTTGGAATAAAAATATATATGTATTTTCCTTAAAAAAAAAAAATTGATAAAATGAAAAGTCGTATGTACTCACTGCGAATTCGTCACAATATACGGAAAACCACTTAATGTTGTTCAAGGTCTTTCCTTCCGGAAGCGTTAAAGTGATGTCCTTATTTCTGTACCGCTTTAGAACGTTAGTCCTGTTAACATAATTAACATTGCCAACATAGAGAACGTTTGAGAACTCTCGCGCGTATTATTTCTACTTTACACATTCGTCCAGAGGTGAAACCAGTCTACGTGTCGAGTTAATTAATGACTACTAAAGGACACACACGTGAGTACCCAACTTTCTTTCATTATATTTATATATCACAAGAAAAAGAACTCGTGTTGCTTTTTTCAACACATTCTTCATAAACTATTTTAATTTTTCTTTTTTTTAATGAAATCTTTTAACATTTTTACTGTGTTTTTATTAATGGTTTTTCAACATTTGGACAATGTGTTTTATATGTGCGTTTGTCATTTTAATTAATTCACTAAAATATCTCTTAATTAATTTCTTAATTTTCCTGTCTCTCATCTCCCTTTGCTTTTAAGTTAATTACATTAATTTGAAAATGATTTATTTTATGTAACTAGATAAAATTTATTTCACGATGCTATGAATAAACAAACGAGAATAGTAATATTTAAATTAATTAATTTAGAAGTTACGATAAATAACGATATTTATAATTTAATTAATAATAATGCATTTATATTATTATTTTGAAATTAATTTTATTTGTTGGAAAAATAAACCACTTTTTTAAAAACTTGCCAATTACTTTGATTATATTATATATTTTATTATTATTATTATTATTATTATATTAATACATTTAAAAATTTATTTTTTTAATAATATATAATAATAATAATAATATATAATAATAATAATCAATAAAATAACAATAATACCTAATAATTAATTAAGTTATAAATTACATTAAATATGTTTTTTTAAATGTATTTTATTAAAAACTGAGAAAAGCCAATAAAATGGATTAAATATTTGCTTTTAATTATTGAAAAATCAACATATTGGTTCGTTAATTAATTTTTATGTATTTTTTTTTAAATACATATATTTACAGAATATTTAATGTATCTTATTAGTACTCTGTATGAATGGGATCTGACCGTATATTTTTCAATAAATAAATAAATAAAAAAAAATTGATTTTTTTTTCGTAATTTATTTCAGTCTTTATTATTATTTAGTGTACTGTTTATGTAAATTTGATAAGGATAACGATAGCTACCGAAACGTCATTTATTTTGATATTTAAAAAAAAGCCAAATTAAAAAAAAACTATAAAGAAAAGAAAAACTGTGCAAATTTTTTTTTTTTAGTATTAATATAATTATTACCACATAAATAATATTTTAATTAAAATTTATTATTATTCCTTATTTAATTCATTATTTATTATTATAATTTTATTTTTTTATTTTATTTATTAAGTTGACGAAAAAATAATTAGAAATGCAAAAAAAAAAATTATAAATAAAATTTTAAAGTTCATTGTAAAATAATATAGATCCATATTACATGTATGTACGCAAAAAAAAACAAAAGAGTCGATATTTTCATTCGCTTTTTTGTTAAAATTACTACCTAGATAATAATAGCCTGTTAGGAGTGTCAATAGCCTGAAGCTAATCATGCATTATTAAATTTGTATACGTTAATATTATCGTACTTACGTTCCTCGTTCGTCCCGAACCCTGAATCCATTATTACCAGGAGATTTTGAGCTTCCAGCGTAGAAAAATGCAGCTGGAAATTTAATTTAAATTTTTTACTTTCATTTAACTAAAATGCGAGACAATAAATAAAATAAATAAAAATTTGAAGAAAATATTTTTTAATCCAAATAAATAAATGCAATAATTTGTAAAAAAAAAAATTAAAAACAAATAAACTTTCTTTAAATAATTAATTCATTATTCTGATTTACTAATCACAACAGATAGAAATTTAATAAAATTTATTTTGTCTTTTTTTTTGCAATAACCAATAAAAAAAAATGATAATTAAGTGATAAAAATAAATTTAAATGAACTCATAATAATTTTACTACCGTACGCGTTTGTTTATAATAATCTAATGGTTTTTTTCCTCCGCGCAAAAGTTGTAAAATCAATATAAAATAAGAGATAAAATTCCAATTTAAGAGGAATAATAAAAAAAAATTATTGTTTTGATTTGTATTCTATAATTATATACAATATTTAATGATTGATCTTGCTAGGTCAGGGAAAGTTTGAATGTCAAGTTTCCTTTGCTCTTTTCTCTCAATCTTTTTTCTTTTTTTATTTTTTTTTAAACAATGAAATAGAAATTGTTCATACGCTACTATTGAAAGTTATCGTTCTGGAATTTTACGATATTTTTCTTTCTTCATCATCGTCATCATTCTCGTTCCAGATATTTTTTTTTTATAATCATAAAAATATATTTGAAAAAGATGATTTTTCTTACCGGGACCTTCTCCATCATAATTGAAGCCTTTGATGAAGAGGGTTCTTCCATCTACAGCATAGATTTCACCACTGACTCCATGGTGAAGTTCAGATAATCTCCCTAATAACTTTCCATAATAAGCCGCGTTGCAAACCTCTGAAAATAGTAATTTTCAAACATTAAATATATGATAAATTTTTATTATAAATTGAGCAAGAAAATATGTCAAAAACATTTTTTTTTTTTAAATAATGAGTAAGTATTTCTCAAACGAATTATAAGTAAAATTTTCAAAAAAAAATTTTCAGACTCATGAATAGGCTCTAAAATTTTTTTTTAGAATTATGATTTGATATAGGGTCAGTTGGGGTAAATGAGGACAGGGGGTAAATGGGGACAAGAGGTTTTAGAGCTTAATTTACAGTTTTAAAATTAAGTTCAGTGTCAATATTTTAACCTCAAATCACCTGCAAGAGGTTTTGAGTATTGCCAAGCTTTTATCTTGACAATTGGCAGCAACATAAAAAAAGTTATCGCTCAATGCATAAAAACTTGAAAATCAAAGTTAAACTGTTTCAGTATTTTGTCGAGCATTTCAAAGAAAACAGACTTAAAAATCATACCGAATTTTTTTCTTATTCCTCATGACTCACAGTTTTCCTAAAAGTATCAAATTGAGACCAAAAATTGCATCAAATCTTTGCAACGTTTTGATGCACATAAGTTATATGAAAAAGAGATCGTTTTGTGTATCATTTTTAGAAATGATACACGAAACGGTCTCAATTTTTGATGCAAAAAATTTAATCAATTTATATAAATCATGGCCGAATTGAATCGACTCAAAATTAAACGAATTTTTTTCAGATATTTTGGTAATAGTACAATTGCGGAGACTATTTCACTACTTAATTTGAAAATGAAAATAACAGAAAATCAAAGACAATGTGCAATTCGATAATTAAAAAGTGACAGCTTATAAACATAACCTAAAATGCATGAGAAAAAATTTGTCGATAAAATCAATATAGCCGAGCTTTTTAGAAGGTAGATGGCAGTTTTGCTTTTTATAAAAACGATTCAGAAAATTTAAAGAAAGAAAATAGATGAGTGCTACCATCTACCTTCTAAAAAGCTCGGCTATATTGATTTTATCGACAAATTTTTTCTCATGCATTTTAGGTTATGTTTATAAGCTGTCACTTTTTAATTATCGAATTGCACATTGTCTTTGATTTTCTGTTATTTTCATTTTCAAATTAAATAGTGAAATGGTCTCCGCAATTGTACTATTACCAAAATATCTGAAAAAAATTCGTTCAATTTTGAGTCGATTCAATTCGGCCATGATTGATATAAATTGATTAAATTTTTTGCATCAAAAAATGAGACCGTTTCGTGTATCATTTCTAAAAATGATACACAAAACGATCTCTTTTTGATATAACTTATGTGCATCAAAACGTTGCAATAGAAAAAGATACAACCAAGTTTACTGTGCTCCTAGCTATATAACAGAAATTCACTTGAATTTTTCATTTTTGTCAATTTGGTTAATAATGACAAAAATCAAAAATTCAAGTGAATTTCTGTTATGGTAGTCATAAGGAATAAGAAAAAAATTTGGTATGATTTTTAAGTCTGTTTTTTTTCAAATGCGAGACAAAATACTGAAATAAAAAAAAATAAAAAAATTTCAATTGGTTCAACTATTATATACCTACTAGAAATTTTTTTCAAGTTTTTTCGTCCCTTAATACAGTAATATACTTAAGGGTATGTGAAAACCTCCCACGTGACTTAGTATGGGAAAATGTGATTTGGTAGTATACATTTCACTCTGAAATGAGAAAAAAATTTTGTCTAAAATTTTGAGGGATGATAGATTAGGGTACAAGGAATCTCGCTGTTCTCCGAAAAATACATAATTTTGAGTAAAATTATTAAAAAATGATGTTTAAAAAGTGTCATTTTTAAACGAAAATGAAAACAAAAATGGCGGCGCATACACAAACGTTGCTTGAGTGGGTCAGTGCTCCAGTAAACAGCGCCAATTCGAGCTTTTGGCCGCTGAATGAATTATGATATAATACATTATTTTACTATTTATTGCTATATTTTTATTATTTTTGCGTTAAGTTATGGTAAAGGAGTAGAACAGCGAGATTTCTTGTACCAAACAAAATCATTTCGCCAAAATTTTAACGCGAAAGCATTTTTTATTTCAGAGAAAGTTTCAAAACCACAAAAAAACTTCCTTTACCCACATACCCTTAAGGAAACTTTTTTCTTAAAACTTTCTTAGAAACTATGCTGTCCCCATTTACCCCAAATTTTATGAAATTTTCTAAATTTTGGGGTAAATGGGGACAGTCAGTTTCAAAGCTTATCTAAATTTTTTTCTGCTGCATAAAATTAATCCTGTGAACGTAAATAACAGGTTAAAAAAAATAAACCCGCAAATATTACCTTTTAAAGGAAGAAACTTACGTAAATCGTGAAAAATATCGATTTTGTCCCCATTTACCCCAACTGACCCTAATCTTATTCTTTAGAATATTAATTTTGCAAAATATTTATTTGTTCAAATATGAATGTTTTAGAAAATGCAAATGGTCGAAAATCAATTTGACAGAATTTTTATTTAGACGAAAATTAATTAGCCAGAAATTCAATTTAATCGAAACTTTGTCTTCACAGTAAACTTGGTTGTATCTTTTTCTATTGCAACGTTTTGATGCACATAAGTTATATCAAAAAGAGATCGTTTTGTTTATCATTTTTAGAAATGAAACACGAAACGGTCTCATTTTTTGATGCAAAAAATTTAATCAATTTATATCAATCATGGCCGAATTGAATCGACTCAAAATTAAACGAATTTTTTTCAGATATTTTGGTAATAGTACAATTGCGGAGACCATTTCACTATTTAATTTGAAAATGAAAATAACAGAAAATCAAAGACAATGTGCAATTCGATAATTAAAAAGTGACAGCTTATAAACATAACCTAAAATGCATGAGAAAAAATTTGTCGATAAAATCAATATAGCCGAGCTTTTTAGAAGGTAGATGGCAGCACTCATCTATTTTCTTTCTTTAAATTTTTTCTGAATCGTTTTTATAAAAAGCAAAACTGCCATCTACCTTCTAAAAAGCTCGGCTATATTGATTTTATCGACAAATTTTTTCTCATGCATTTTAGGTTATGTTTATAAGCTGTCACTTTTTAATTATCGAATTGCACATTGTCTTTGATTTTCTGTTATTTTCATTTTCAAATTAAATAGTGAAATGGTCTCCGCAATTGTACTATTACCAAAATATCTGAAAAAAATTCCTTTAATTTTGAGTCGATTCAATTCAGCCATGATTGATATAAATTGATTAAATTTTTTGCATCAAAAAATGAGACCGTTTCGTGTATCATTTCTAAAAATGATACACAAAACGATCTCTTTTTGATATAACTTATGTGCATCAAAACGTTGCAAAGATTTTATGCAATTTTTGGTCTCAATTTGATACTTTTAGGAAAACTGTGTTGTAGAATATTAATTTTGCAGAATTGTAATTTAAAAGAATCTTAATTTTGCAGAATATTTTTTTGCTCGAATATTAATGTTCCAGAAAATTAAAATAGTAGAAAATTATTTTGCCAGAATTAATTCGGCGGAAACTTCAAATTTGACTAATCAGAAATTATCAAGAAAATTGTGATTGATCAAGTTTAAAGTTTCCGCTGAATTAATTCTGGCAAATTGATTTTCGACTATTTGCATTTTCTAAAAAAACATTAATATTCGACCAAATAAATATTCTGCAAAATTTAATTAATATTCTTAAGAATAAGATTCTATTAAATCATAATTTTAAAAAATTTGGTTTAAAATTTTTGCTTTAAAAAAATTGTTATTTTAAATTCTTACAAAATGTTAATAAAAAAATGTGTTCTTCATGGCCTGTGTACAATATTTAAATTTTTTTTTTTATATTCCGCACACATTTCTGACTATAAAACAGTTGTGAAAATGACAATCAATTAGAAAAAAAATTATTTGATAATAATTACTGATTTAAATAATAACACTAATTATTATTTATTATAAATAATTACGTGTAATGAGACGTATGAATTTGAATGTTAATTGCGCATTGTTTTCATTATAAAGAATTTTTATTATTAATTATTCAATTATTATTACATAATCAAATAATTGTTTACTTTTTTCCAATTTGAGTGAGTGTCATTTTTTTCTCAACGGTTTTATACACAGAAATGTTTGCGAAATGTAAAACAATTTTTAAATTTTACGTATGACATATGAAGAATACTTTTTTATTAATACTTTTATAAATAAACAATTTAAAAAACTATTTAAAATAACAATTTCTTTAAACAAAAATTATTTTTAAATACACAAAACCATTTAATATTGAATATTAAAATGATGATTAAAAATACAAAATGCACAGAACAACTCTCTAAATCTGAATTAGTATATAAAAATGTTTACTAATTTGAATTAGTGACTCACTTTTTGCTTTAGAATTAGTTAAATTTTACTAATTGTTAGTAAAAGTTACTATTAATTAGTAAAATTTCACTAATTCAGAAGCAAAAAGTGAGTCACTAATTCAAATTAGTAAACATTTTTACCTAATTCAGATTTAGAGAGAAACGATAAACGAGACGTTTGTGCTCTCTTGTCACGGAAATCCAAGATCGATTAAATAATAAGAAAATCAATAAATTAGAAATTAATAATTGTCATAGTATTAACAAATATTAATAGAGAAAAACGGTCAATAATACATTTTTAATAAATATACATTTTTAAATAAAGGGACAACACATCAAAATAATAATAAATAATAATAATAATAATAAATAAAATTTATTTAATAAAATTTTTAAAAATAAATAAAAATTGTGAATTGTGAAATTAATAAAAAATTTACGTCACAATATTATAATTCTGCCAAATTCAAAATAGATGAAATAAAAATCTGTAAAATGAAAATTCGTTTAAGTAACAATTTGTGTAATACAGAAATTCGGTTAAATTGAATTTTTGTAACATAATAATTCGAAGAAATAAAAATTCGTCTAAAAAAAAATTTTAGGTAATGAAATTCTGCCAAATAAAAAT